TGAGCTACAGAGAGACAGTTGTCGAGCTCTAACCAACTGAGCTACAGAGAGACAGTTGTCGAGCCCTAACCAACCGAGCTACAGAGAGACAGTTGTCGAGCTCTAACCAACTGAGCTACAGAGAGACAGTTGTCGAGCTCTAACCAACTGAGCTACAGGGAGACAGTTGTCGAGCTTTAACCACAAATCCCTACAACTGTTAGTTCTATCGTAAATGGCGCGGGTGAAGCTGGTCTGGCAATTTGGGAATTTGTGCACGCGCCGTCCACGCTAACGCTCGCCAGGATTGTAGATCGAATATTACATACCATTAATCCTGGATCGAAGAGAACCAGATAGAGGAGGTCCATGTTGAATCGGGATGTGGTTTAGGAAGCCTACATCCATAACTGGACTTGACGCTATCTGGAATGGTTGATCCGACACAGGCGGCCTCATCAGTGGATAAATATTTTGTTGTAAAACTCCTCCAAGCCTGAATGAATTGAAACCAAAGTTAAAGCCTGCATGGTTTTCATATAACGGTCGTAAAAATATCTTTCATATCAAGATCTTTCTCAGCCCTGGATTGAAGAGAACCAGATAAAGGAGTACACGGAACCGGAAGTGCAAAAAAATTTGCAGTAGTTGCTAAAGCACATACGCTTGAATTTGGACTCTTTAGCGCCCGTGACAATTTTCAGAGAAGTATTATGAATTACAAACGAAGTGTTTGTGTTGACATATTTTGATAGACTACCTTTGCCTACCGAAAACTGCTCAACTTCTGCGAAATAGCAGGAGAAGCCAATCATATCTCTCCCTTTAGTGACTTTAGTCGTCTAACCCAGAGCCTAATTTTCAACGAGTGATCATACATTGTTTTCTCGTGTTTAGATATCCCGGTGAAACACTCGTTCTCGTTGTTCATATATTACATCAAGCATACAACTCGCCTATGTTGTTATAGGCGAGTTGTGTGCTTGATTTAGACAGTCTTCAGTTGTAGGCAGGTTGCATGCGACAGTTTTAGGCAAAAGTTGTGGTGTAAATTGGTCTTAAATTAAGAACCTCTTCCAACGACGAACGTGTCAGAACGACCACAATAGATTGTTGGTGGCGACTACAATATGGCGACCATAGCGGATACCCATCCATTTCTAGTTATCCGATCAGTGGGTAAAATAATACCTGGGCATGATTCCTGGTCTTGGCATGGTTCCTGGTCCTAACATTATTCCCGGCCTGGGCATTAACACTGCCTTGGGAAACATTGGGTACATCTGTTGTGGTGTGAGGATTCTGCTAGGAAAAGTGTGGATAGGAAGGGAAAGCTGAGCGGATGGTTGATGGATAACTGGACCAGCTATGGCTTCGTTAGGTATATCATCGTGGTTAACACAGGATGCACATGCTGCATGATGTGGCTCTGAAGAAATAGATACAAACAGGAAGATTTACTAAAGAATACACCCCAACGTCAAATATATATCAAAATAATGAGTGAATGGATGCCATGGAGAACAGCGAAATTTTCAAAACAATGAAAAGACTGGTCACTGGATCATGACTGGATGACCGAATGGTTGTGCTCTGCTTCATACAAAGGGGCTATTATATCTAACCGGACATAGTACAGGGTGTCCAAAAAAATGCAATCCATGAACGTAATTTCTCATAATAATAAAGATCAGGCTTTTGGCTGTTGAATGTAACTCAGTTGGGAGAGCATTGGGCTAGTGTTCCAAAGGTCGTAGGTTCGATTCCCACTGTGGCCGGGCATATTTTTCAAGCTCGCCCGGTGTGGATATACACTCTGTGTTGAATGACATGTTTTTCATTCATTATAGAGAACAATTGAGCAAATGAGTCACAAAATTGTCTGTCGAAATTGAATATTTTCATGCGACTAATTAAAGCAATGCATAACAAAAGGAGAAGCAATTAATCACGAATGTGTCATTTTAAAAGTGTTATTCTGTCACCAAAAGCGGAGTTGATTCAACTCCTCGACACTGTTGTCACAGTTGTAGACGCTTGGTGAGTGTTTTACAGTGAAGTGCTTATGAGTTGTGTGCAATGTCAATGACATTTCATAAATTTTATATAAACTTACGATGCGCACAGATCGGACATAGACGAGATTGAATATCTGTAAAAAATAGAAGTGAAAGATTATGAACGTAAAAGAGGTGAATTAACCATTACTGTTATAAACCTAGGGTAAACACTGATTTGAGGACACGTGGTTTTAGATAAATGCAATGCATGCCGCTGGGCAACAAGTCCGTACATGAACAAACAAAATGTAAAAAAGAAGAAAATACACAAAAAAAACAGCAGAACATGCTGCTGAGAATAGGTTCTTTTGATTTTAAACTCGTTTACACAATAGAGTTTTTGTCATGAAATAAAATCGTTGTATATGAATACAGTATACCGCGTTTCCCCCAAAAAAATTGGACACTGTTTGATTGCATGTAACGTAAAAGCTATAAAAGCTATCGCAATGAAGTAAAGATCATTGCATTCAGAAAGGACAAACTTAGATTTTGGTATATAGCACTTGAATTTACATCCAATATTGACTGCGCTATTGATGTTTGAACGTTAAACAACTGTTTTTGAAATTTCCAAAAATTAGCATAAAACAACCTCATGATTACCGATTTAATTTAATTTAATTTAATGAATTTGTCACAATTACAACAAAGGACAATTACATATTTACAGAAACAATGACAGGAGAAGGTAACAGGAGAATTTCCCAATTGACAACCGACCCCAACAAGAACAATACAATAAAAAAGCAAATATCCAGTTTTTAGAAGTCGGACTGTATCTGAATCCAACTACGGCGGTGTGTACGTTTGCAGCCTGTCCGAAAAATATCCATGCAGTTTTGACCGATGTAGTTATGCTTGTTCAATAATAAACATTTTTATTTTGGTTGTATCTCGCTCAATACTGCATGTAAATTCAAGTGTTATATATCAAAATGTAAGTTAGTCCTTTCTGAATGAATTACTCATGTGCTAAAATAGTTTTAATAACCTGTTTTGTGAACTCAAGGTACATATAACAGTACCGGTTTTCCTACCTCGTATAACTTTATCTGCAACGCTGGCAGCCAGGCACTTCAATTGTGAAGACGACTTCGCCTTAAACAAATGCCTGAACTTTGGAATACTGGTCATCAACAGCAACTGCATTTTGCCAAAATACTGACCGACACCCACTCCAAATATATCAATGCCATCATGTCTCATTGTCAGCGAGGGAGGCAGGAAGTTATCCGCCGAGGGAGCGTAGCTCACAACTATGAGAACATGTGGGACATCTTGGCGTACGGTAGGATCATGGAAAAGGACCATAGCCGTCTGAAGTCCGCGACCCATGACAACAGCCTTTGAGCCGTCGTCTCTTTTGTGAGCAGTAGAGAACTGTCTTTTCTTTAGTACATCTTGGGAAGTTTCATTTCTTTTATCTACAAAGAAAGATTAGAGAAACTAGTGAATATCTAAATGAATAAGCATAGTTCTGTCTTAACCTTTTTCCTGGAGGTTCAGTAAGGACATCTCTTCATGAGTATAGAGGGTTTGCACATGACGTCCAATTCAAAAGAATTTTAACACCAACATGGCCGCCATGGCTTTTGGTGAGTTGGTCCCAGTGCAAACGCTCTATTGATTCAGTGTTACTACGAAAGGAAACCTAAACTAGGGGGACTGATTACATGGGGAGTTTTCAGCCCGGGCTGAATTTCAACCCAGTTAAACCGAGCTGAAATTGTTTCACGATTAGCCCAGGGTGAGTTAAAATTTGAGGGGCATCTTCGAAGAATCTAAAATGTTGTTCATATCTATTATTACTAAAACAGACAGAAATGAAGCCACTAAACGTTTTTTTTTTTTCGATTTTCAGCCTGGGTAGCTTCAGCCCAGGCTGAACCTTACCCCGAGATGAAATTTCTGTCATGATCCTTAGGTCCGGCTGAAAACTGTCCATGGCCCGGGAAACCGGAATGAAATTCAGCCCGGGCTGAAAACTCTCCATGTGATCAGCCCCTATAAGCTAACTTAAGTTGGATTTCCACTCTTTTTCGCTCAATTTATTTTGAATTGTGAGCGGTCAAGTATAGAGTATAGTATAGTCAAGTATAGTATACTGATTTATTCGGATGGTCATAATTCAAAAGAAATGAAGCGAAACGACATGCTAAGACGCTTATCGATCTGTCCTCAGATCTGTTCGCTGACCTGGTTTGCATGGATTAGTGGTTTCAAACTAGTGGTGCTGGTGGTGGTCAAATCTGAACCTCGCAAATAATTTCACAGTAGTGTAGTATTTATTCTTGCATGTTTTACATAGTGTAAAGGCCTGTAAAATCAGTATTACGCTGTCCAATTTGTAGTCCGTAATATGTCGTGTTTTAGTGTTAGATGGATGGACTTAGTATGGGATTCTGTTGTCCAATCCTGCAATCATAGATGTATGTGTATTTTTTATGTAACGCGTTTTTAACCTAGTACCCAGTCCTTATTGCGACATTTTGGTCCAATTTTCACATTCAAAACGACATTTTGCCAATTTTCACATTCAAAGACTATTTGAAAAATCAAAAAACTGTTTAAAAGTCTTATATGCGGTTTTTTGTACGTTTTCCGATAATGCAAGTAATTTTTTATTTTAATTGAGTACAAAATTTCCCATTTTTTGCTGTAATACAATTTAATAGAAGATAATCATTGATCACCCATTTTCTCAGTATTGGGCAACTTTTTTGCTTGGGAACTTTTTTTTGGTAGTGATGTACCTATATACCTTTCAAGTAAACCCGAAACCAAGTATTTCCCACATGGGTGCCACGAATCGAAATAATTTTGGCCAACAGCCCACGGACTATAATAAATGTTTTTCATTTACCGTTCTCTTTTCCCGTCACATTTGAATACATCGCGTGCGTGTTATTCGTCTCGGCGTGTTTTAAGAATCGTTTCCACTTTTGATCACGATGCCCAGTATCAGATCTGCGCGCAACGAAAGACGGATAGTCCAGCTTATCCAAAGCTTTGTCCAGCTCCTTTCTACAACAGTAGCGGGTAAAACCAAACAGAATAGAAGCGTCTGAGCCGTACGCTATCAAGGCAACTCGAGTGGCTGACGGTTCTACCAAGAACTTGTGCGAAAATGATTTGATGAAATCTTTTATATCATTAAACAGCGATGCCTTGGAAGAATCGACTAAGAACACCACGTCCATTGCAGCTAAAAGGAGAAACGATATTAATTAAAAAGCAGGAAGTATAAAAAAGTAAGTAGACGAATTTGAAACGGCTCTCAATTTCACAAATCCGTTCATTTCGTGAAATTTTTGATAAATATAGATTGTTTGGGTACTCATAATGTAGAATAAACAACACATTTTGGCAAAGATAAATTTTCCAGAGCAGCGACGGGCCGGGGTGTCTTTTTTAGCAAAGTTAAAAATTGCTTGCGCGTGAAATTTAAAAGTATAAAACTCATTTTGAGTTCACGGGCGAGAAATTTGTTACGTGTTTTATCAATGGTCCAAATTTCAGAAAATTTACTCAATTTTAAATCCTTCCAAAAGCAGTTGAAACTTTCATTTTTGGCACCAATGCCTATCACGCATGCTTAATTCATGCATTTACCTAATTTGCATATTGTTATTTAAAAAAAGTAAAATAACAATATGCAAATCAGGTTTAGCATGAATTAAACGTAATATTTCAAATCCGACTGTGAGGACTGGACTAGATTTCAAGTCAGTTATCTCTATTTAGACTGGAACGATAACCGACTATAATTTGGCCGCCATCTTTGAAGCCGAATTGACGTACAGTGCCAGTCCGTTTCTATTGTTTTTGTCGGCCTGGCACTGTACGTCAGTGGACTGGCACTGTACGGAGGGACTGGCACTGTACGTCAATTCGGCTTCATATTGGCTTCAAAGATGGCGGCCAAGTTATCGTTCCAATCTAAATGGAGTTCACTGTTTCAAGTCTGCGCAATTTGAGCCGAGGACTGGATCAAAATGCGAGGACTTGAAATCTAGTCCAGTCCGAATTGGAGGATTTGAAATGACATATCAAACAAATAAATCACTAATTGGGCTAGTATTGCAAAGGTCGTAGGTTCGATTCCCACCGTGGCCGGGCACATTTTTCAAGCTCGCCCGGTGCGGATATACACTCAGAGTAACATCACAAACATCATAGTATTCACCTGAGTACACAACACCAACACAGAAAAAAATAAATCACTACTTAACTAATTTTGATCCAGTCCAAGGACTGGATCAATATATTTCATCAGGTATTCAGTATTATCATGTGAGCAAAATAAAGCAATATGGTTGGCTAATTTACTCATGAATTATTAATGAGTTTGAGATAAATATATCTCACAATCACACGTACTTCCTGAGCAACTGTTCTCGTTCATTAATAAACAACGCCTGAAGAATGAAGATGGAGTTATACTCCGAAACGTAGTTATTAAAATTTTTTTTTACTAAATCTATGGTCTAATTATTCAAACACAGAATAATTAAAATGCGGCTTAGAAAAAGTTCCGTCATACAAAAAGACCTAACAGTTCTTGTAAATGGAAATTACAGTTTCATTTACAAAACTCTTCAACCATTAACATATGTCACACATCAGAAATTTTAGGTTAAGGGTGTTAGATGACATCGGCAATGTAAAGAGAGTAAGAGTGTACAGGCTAATGCAAACTAAATAATATGTGAAGTAACTCAAGAACTGTAGAATTTATGCTATTATGACTTGTCTTACACAGAAAATAATCATCACTGGTAAACCAGCTTTAAATACCTGGAAATGCATCTTCTTCTTTGTCATCACTTGGACTTCCAGAACACGTATCTCCACTAAAGTGAGACCCACCCCCACCACCACCGCCAGCTGCCCCACCACCGCCAGCTGCCCCACCACCGCCAGCTGCCCCACCACCGCCAGCTGCCCCACCACCGCCAGCTGCACCACCACCGCCAGCTGCACCGCCCCCGCCAGCTGCACCACCGGCAGCACTTTCAATGGCGCTACCACCAAAAGCGCCACCACCACCACCTCCTCCCATAGCACCACCGCCCATTTCACCACCCATACCACCACCCACTGCACCTCCTGCTCCCATCGAACCACCTCCCATCGAACCACCTCCCATCGCACCACCTCCCATCGCACCACCTTCCATACCGCCACCCATATCACCACCTCCCATACCACCACCTCCCATGCCACCACCTCCCATACCACCACCTGCCATTGCAGCGCCTCCCATCGCGCCACCTCCACCCATACCACCACCTCCCATGCCAGCTCCCATCGCACCACCTCCCATACCACCACCTTCCATACCGCCACCCATATTACCACCTCCCATACCACCACCTCCCATACCGCCACCCATACCACCACCTCCCACACCACCACCCATACCACCGCCCATTGCACCTTCCATACTACCACCCATTGCACCTCCTGCTCCCATCGCACCACCTCCACCCATACCACCACCTCCTATACCACCACCCATTCCTAAACGTCCACCACCCATAGTACCAAAACCACCTCCCAGTGCACCATTTCCACCAACACCAAAAGTAGCATTACTGTCACCACCACCGCCACCAAAACCACCATTACCACCACCACCGAAACCACCTCTACCACCACCAAAAGCACCATTACCACCACCACCACCACCACCAAAAGCACCATTACCACCACCACCACCACCACCGAGAGCACCATTACCACCAGCAAAACTATTATTAGCGCCACCTCTAACACCACCAAAAGCACCATTACCACCACCACCGCCAAAAGCACCATTACCACCACCACTGAGAGCACCATTACCACCAGCAAAACTACTATTAGCACCACCTCGACCACCACCAAAAGCACCATTACCACCACCGAGAGCACCATTACCACCAGCAAAACCACTATTAGCACCGCCAAAAGCACCATTACCACCATTACCACCACTAAAAGCACCATTACCACCATTACCACCATCACCACCACCAAAAGCACCATTACCACCTCCACCGAAAGCACCATTACCACCACCGCCATTAAAGCCCCATTCCCAGGAACCACCATTAGCTTTCCCAATAAGCGTATGACCAAGGGGACCAGCGTTCCCAACCTGGCCAGCAGTCATACCTCCTGGAATATAACCACCATTTGAGAAATGACTCCCACCGAGGTACGAATATGGTTTACTGGCTTGCTTCAAAAATAAAGGCGACTTGTCATTCAAAATAGGTCGATGATCACTTTTATCCATGTTCAATGTAATTTCTTCATGGTTCTTGTTCACAGACGATTCACTCTTGTTTTGACGTTCAAAATTGTAGTTGTTGTTGTTATCAGCACCCTTCAATTTTCCTGCCTTTAGCAAACTCTCACCAACTTGCAAATTTTTTTTCCTGTTAAAGACATTTTGTCCCGTTTCTTGGGGCCTTACAAGATCTTTGGTGATATTTCTCTGGAGCTTTCTGTGATTCAAAAGAGAATGATGTGTCTCTTTTGAAGCTTGAATATCTCCGTTGGACATTTTTCTGTGTTTGTGAGCATTATTATTGTCTGCAAAAATCTGAGTAAAATGATCCTGTTCATTACCATTTTTTGTGTTCGCTGATGAAAAGTCCAAGTTCATGGGATTTTTATTGTCACCTTTTGGCAAGACTCTATTATTACGGTTATCATTCTGTCCTGATTTCCCAAGCCTTTCTGCACGGATACTTGGCTTGAAAAATTTCCCTGTAAGCATTGATGAATCCTGGATATGGGTAGAAAATTCGGAAGCATTGTTTTGGATTACTCCGTTATTTTCATTATAGTTTCCCTGTAATTTCGCAAGCTTTTCTGGATACCTATCTGATGGAAATTCAAGCCAGGTAGATGGTGACGATAGCTGTAAATTGGAGGGGCCTTTAGACATACTCTTCTGCGTCATTCTGTTATTCTGATGATAATTCTGTTCAATTTTTCTGGGCACTTCAGGGTAGTAGGGCCGCTTATTATGGTGGTAATCCATGTATGGCGGTGACAATTGTAAAGTGGAAAGGCCTTTAGGGTTACTTTCCTGCATCATTCTGTTATTCTGATTATAATTCTGTTCAAACTTTCTGCCCAATGGAAGGTAGTATGGCGATTTATTATGGTCGAGCATGTGTGGTGAATGCGGTTCTACTTTGGGACGGACTCCTTTTATTTGTATTCCCTTCTGTATTACTCTGTTACCTTGCATAGCACCAACCCGGTTTACATTCATCATTACTCCATCTCCTTTATTATTATTTTTGTGGAATCTCTGGGGCTTTTCATCGAGGAGATCAGTTTCGCCGATCTGATTTTCGTCATCAAATTCTTTCCCGAATCTACGGTCTTGAGGAAAAGGAATATCAGGAGTAATATGCTGGTCAATGGCACCACCGAGGGGATTATTACTCGCTCGTTGCTCGATAAGCCAGCCTGATGTGTCTGTGGCCAATTTTCCTGATGGTTCGTAATTTGGTCTGTTTTTATGTAGGTAATTGCTGTGTATTCCAAGTGATTCAGCACCAAGCTTAGGTATATTATTGCTTCCCTGGAAAGAGTTCGATCCATGGTTATTTGCATTTCTATACTGCGGTGGGAAAATTGAATGACCAGCATGAAACGGATTACTGTCAACTTTCTGAAATGTATTCAAATTTTTCCCGTTGATCGCCATCAATGGCTTCTTGCTATTGTCATTGTTTTGACGATATATCCTAGGTAAATGTCTACCTTCCACTTTTCGATATGGCGGTGTAAAAAATGACTGGATACCGTCGGCTTTTTGAAGTTTATCTGCATTATAATCATCACTTTTCTCACTATTTCTCGTTTCAGTGTCGCCCAAATAAAATTTTTGAATAAACTCGTGTTCCTTGTTCAGATCATCACCGTTGTATTTCTTATAGGACCAATTTATATCACCTAAATTACCTACAAGCTTGTTATCAGCACCAATATCATCGAGTTCTGAATTTGTCCCCATGGCTTGGTGATGGTGATCATTTAGAGGCTGATTATTATTATTATAGGGGTAACCGAAGTTATTAGAGTTACCCATCGGGTTAGGCAATGAATCAGCACTTTCGAGATTCGGGTCAGGCATTGGACTTGCACCAAAACCATTTGGTCCCAAACCCACAGATATTAGGTGTGATGGTTTGGAATCCCCAATATTACCAATATTATTGGTTCCAATATTATCATTACTTTGATTATCAATCAGATCCGAGAATGGGTGAGAAGTAATACTGGTGCTGTTCCGAATGTTTCCGCTCGTAGTGCCATTACCAGAAACCCTTGAATCTGCAAATCGAGTATTATTACCAGAAATCGAAAAATTTTTACTTGTTTCATTGTTTTGCACTCTAGTTCCATCGACTCTAATATAAGATAAATTACCATTAGCCGTATTTCCAAGACCAATTTTGTCATTAAGTCGACCAGCCTGACTAATTCGGTAAGGTATATTACCGTTACCCGTAATCCCAGACGCATTTCTGTCATTAAGACTACCATAGTCCAATCCATTTCCGCCATTGCTTATTTGGGGTGACTGAATCTTATTCTCTTCTGATTCAGTTGTATTCATCTTTGGCCATGGGGTAATCCTTTTATCAGAACCATCATTACCTTTGAGACTGGCATTTTGTAAACTTTCGTTTTGTATGTATAAAGGCGAGCCAACTGAAGATACTACGGAATTGTTTGCTGTTATATCTTGATGAGACAAAGAAGTGATATTACGCTCAGAAGACATGTTTTTCATTGAATCCCCATTGCCCACATTCCCTGTAGCCTGTTTGACTTTGTAGGCAGTGTTATATATTGTTAAAATATTTTCACCAGTTTTTGCTTTATTTACCGTTGTTTGCAAGTTAGGAGTTTTATCAGAATCAAAGGCACTATCTGTATTCGTTTCTTTGGATACTTCTTGTGGTACAAGAGGCGAGGAGAATGTATAATCCCCTAAAGTATAACCGTTTTCATTTGCGGCGGAGAAATCGGGTACGTTGCCTTGTGGGTCCATATTGTACGGTGCTTTAGACATAGCATTGTTTCTTCTAAGAATTTTATCGTTTCCATCGCGAGTTTCATTCCGAGTTGCTATATTCATGGCCATACTTCTTGGAGCAGGCGTGGCGAGAATATCATCTGTCATCCAAGTGTCACCATAACCAGAATATTCTTTAAGATTTTCTTTTCCTTTAATCAGAAGAAGAAGCCTTTATTTGTACCAAGATTACATAGTCATTCTTATGGTTTCTACCTACATATTTAATTCAAATGATTATGATAATGTCAGGATTCAAAATTTACACTATTCCACTATTCTGTAATAAAATACCTGACGGAACAGTTCTGGGAACTTCATGAACTCAAGCTACATTTCGTATTATAGTTATAATATAAATTTATAATATCAGACTGGCACCAGTCTACCCAGTCGTCAAAAACAACATTAGTTAGGGTAATAGAGCAATAATACACAACAGATAATTCATTTGATAAATTCTTGGCGGTCACATAGATTAAGGAATTGTGGGTCTTCTGACGGAATATTAAATATCAAAATCTACTCTTCCGGTTGTAAATTACTAAATTAGAAATAAACGTAAATTTCAATCCCTAGAATGATTTATTTAGTGTCAACTACACATGGTGTTGTAGAATACTACACAATCCAGACAGAAGCATGGCGTCAGGTAATGCACTGTAAAATTTGACCGCATGAAGAACCACTCCTTATGAATCGTTTGAGTTCATTTTGACTCTTTTGGTAGTGCGCTAACCGATTTGTTTGCTATTATCCCATACATCATTCTTAATCTTAATCTTAATCTTAATATACCATTACCTGCATCTATTTTTCGAACTTGTTCTACAAATTGTGAAATTTTCTTGTCTCCATTTTCAATCCTCTGGAAATCTGATTCTGGAGACATATCTGGACCAGTGTACCAATTCTCATCACCAAAGGTATTTTCTCTGTCTTTCATTTCCACTCTGTTGCTCCCATTCGTTTCAGGTTTTTGTATAGATTCTGTTTCAACGTTTCTTGCTGCCTGCGTTTCTGGTTTTCTCTTGGCATCTTAAAAATAGAAAGAATTCGACTTTGAATATAACCTGAAATTGAAAATCCAATTATCAGTGGCGTAGCCAGCCCAACAATTTAGTCCCGCTAGACAAATTCAAAATTATTGTCACTATTCATTTCTTTAGAAATTGATCGTTTTCACAGTCAATGAACACGAAAATATTTGCATAGCGGGATGGCTATGTCGTCGGGCTGGCTATGGCGGGATGGCTAAATCGTCGGGTTGGTTACGTTACTGCCAACTATAATAATTTTAACGAATTACAATTGATACAATTGATAATAACTTAAAGTGCGACTAACCCCATATATATATGTGTAATATTTGGGTCATTCTAAGAAGAAATGTAATATATCTTTATAGTACGAATCCTCATCTTGATCAACTTTTTCACTGTCAAAGTTTCCGGATATGATGTCATTAGGTGAATTTTTGGTACAAAAAAACAAAGGAAAACTTATTTGCAATTCATCTAATGACATCATATCCGCAAATTTTGACAGTGAAAAAGTTGATCAAGATGGCATTTTTTATATTATAAAGATATATTACATTTCTTGTAAGAATGACCCAAATATTACACGTACCAAAAATGATATTTGTGGTTAGTCACACTTTAATTACAACCGCCAATAAAGGCTGATTTACACTATCAAAGTTTCTCTGACCATTCATGGGTAAATTCATTCATGGGTAAATTTTTAAGAATTTTTAAGAACTTTTATGGGAACTGACTCATTGGCAACGAAAATTTTTATTGGCTATTTCAATCCTACTTGACAACCGAACTATGAAAATATTATCATTTCCTTCTTGAACATTTTAGTCTACGAG